GAACTTTTGCCAAATTAACCTGCCCAGTCCTAACACATCATCTCGTCACGTTAAACAAAAAGCGTTCTGAATCTTCGTGATGAGCGAGTAATAAGAATTAGGTGTGCATTCCTTTGGCAAATATTCATTAACCGCTAACTATGCGCGGGGGTGGGGGTGGGGGGCTGCTTCAGAGGGTGAGAATACTGCGATGAATAACCCAAAGTGCCTGCAGCTACAAGGAGCTTACGTTTTAGTGGGGAAGACAGACAGTAAAACTTTTGGGTAGTGAAATTCTGGATCTTGACCCATTTTCACTAAGTCTCACCCCTTTCGTTGCCTGACCTTCTTCCCTGCTCAGCTCAGATTCTGTGCTCCATCATTATATCCAGTGTCCTGTCCATACCCTCAACTCGCTCCTCCCTCTCTCCTTTCTTCGTACTTGCCTGGCAAAATCCCAACCTGGTTGTACCCAAACCTTTGCCATATTCCCAGCTACTCCCAAGTAGATGAACATAGCTGGAGGAAAACCATAAGCCTAACTGGTGCTTTGACCTCATGAACACCAATGTCACTGGGTCCTTCTTGAAGCATCCTGGCAACCACACTACCTTCCCTAATCCACTCATCCCCATTCTCCAGGACTAGCTCGCATTTCCTCTCTCCTGAAACCTCCCACGATCTCCTCCCACGCTCGCTGTCAGTGATTCTGCTCCTGCTTTCACTGAGAAACGTAAAGGAATAACTTCTAAAACTCCCACTTCGTGTGCCAAACCCCACCCAGCGCCTGGACCCATAGGCTCTACTTTCTCTCGTTACTGTGTAGAAAATGTCCACTGTCCCATCCAAGGACAACCTCTCATTTGTGGTCTACATGGAGATGTGCCACCCAGATCCCCCGTCAAGGCAGGACCTGCTGCGCAGCCGCAGAGAGCCCATCTAGCAGCTCCCTCCGGGTCTGCTGCAGCCATGGAGTCACTTGGCCTGAAGTCATGCCCTTTCTGGGGTGGCGTGCACGCAGTGGCTAAGCAAGACGGGGTTCTGAAAGTCCGACCAGGAAGGACACTCTGAAGAGCACTCCTCGAGAGCTCCCCACGGGATTGGCAGAGGCTTCATCAGTTCTGCCTAGGTTTGACCTCTTCTTCTGCCCAATCTTGCATCCCTCCCTTCCTTTCACAGGTATTGATCTCCCATAACTGTCTGGCACCCAACTTCTGCTTCAGTATCCACTTACAGAGAAGCCAACTTGATATCCCTACCGTACCTACCTTAGATCAGCTCCAGCTCCTGTCCCCTCCCTCTCTTTCACCATGAACTTTCCCCCTCTCTACTGATTCATTCCTATCATCATATGAACCTTCAGTAATCTCCTCCTCCTCCTCCTCCTCCTCCTTCTTCTTCTCCTTCTTCAAGAAAGAGAGCACACATGAGCAGGGGAGAGGGGCAGAGGGAGAGGGAAGAAGAGAATTCCAAGCAGTCTCCGTGCCCAGTGCAGAGCCCAACGCAGGGCTCGATCTCACCACCATGACATCATGACCTGAGCTGAAATCAAGAGTGGGATGCTCAATGGACTGAGCCACCCAGGCGCCCCTCTCCCTTCTTAAAAGCCAAACTCCTTTTGAGCTCCTGCTCCATTTCTCTGCTCCACTGAACAGGAAAATTCCTAGAAAGTGTCTAAATCCATTTCTTGCCTACCTGTCTCACTATAGCCTCACTCCTGGCACCTTCACGAATATCAGCCCTACAGAAACAGCTGTTGTCACTGATAACGCATCATCGTGATAGCCAATGGACAATGCTCAGTTCTCTTGTCACCTGATCGTTTAGCAGCTTCTGACCCAAGTGATCACTTTCTCCCTCTTAGACAATCATCTGGCTTCGTTCTGAGACACAGCTTTCCACGATTTTCCTCCTCCTTTCCTGGCTGCAGTAGCTCCCTCTCCTTTGCTGGTTCTTCTTTCTCTCCTGAATTTCTAAACACTGGAGAGCTCCAGGGTACAATCCTGACCCTCTCCTCATCTTTACCATATTCACTCTGTTAATAATATCAGCCAGTCCCGGGGCTTTAAATACCATCTACATGTTGACAAGTGCTAAATTTATATCTTGACTAGAGCTTCTTCCCCTGAATGCCAGACTCTCACATCCAACTGCCTATTCTGAATCTCCATTTAGATTAACAAGAATCTCAAACCTAGTAGGTCCAAAACAAAACAACTGATTCCCTTCCCCACCTCCCCCATCAAAGAAAAAGGAAGCCCTGTCCCCCACCCCTCAACCAGAGGTCTTCCTCATGTAGGTAACTAGCTACTCCATTCTTCTAGTTATTGAACCAGAAAACAAAAGTCATCATTGACTCCTCTCTGCTTCTTATACCCTACATTCAATACGTGAGAGGATTCTTTAGAATCTCCAGTCTTTCTCCAGCACTCTCATTTATTTAAGGTCTCTTTTCAAATGTCATCTTATTAACAGTTATCAAATATGCAAAATAAAGTCCCGTCCACCTTACTGGTACTTCCTATCTTCTTTAGCCTGCTTTACCTTTAACAAAATTAGTCACTCAATACAGTCACTTATTTGTTCATTGTCTCAACCAGAATGCAAGCTTGAAGACTGCAGGGGCTTAGTCCTGATCCCTAGCTCCCAGTGATGGGCAGGAGGCAGGTGCTCAGCAAATACTTCTGAATGATACATGAATGAATGGAAAAGGATGGAAAGGGAACAGTGATGGTGTAGGGGTAGCAGAAGCACATGGGCATAAAGCTAAATGATGTGAAGGTGCAAACCATTTGAAGATGGAGGGAGAAACGATCCTGGCAGGAAAAAAAGTAGAAAGCTCAAAGGTAGGAATGAGCCAGGCTTTCTGGGGGAACATCAAAGAAGGCTTGTGTGGTTGCAACAGCCAAAGGTCTCAGAAAGGTGAAACGTCAACAACTAGATTACGTAGGACTTTGTGAACCGTAAGTATATTTTTAAGTTTATTTATTTTGAGAGAGACAGAGCAAGCAGGGGAGGGACAGAGAGCGAGAGAGGGAGGGAGAGAGAGATCCCAAGCAGGATCTGCATTGTCAGCACACAGCCCCATGTGGGGCTTGAACTTACAAGCCATGAGATCATGACCTGAGC